TATCTCCCAGACTTTGAACTATCCTGAGCGATTTATAATTTTGGCGGCGAATCCTGCTTTTTTTGGTGTATCCTCCGCACACCATTAGAAATTCACTTTCCTTCGCCCACTTCTCTCCCGGTCTTCAGGACTTCTTGCAGCCGAGTCACAAAGTTTTGTGGAGAACTCCGCCCACCTTGGAAATGCCCCGCCCACCAACAGCAGTTGGGCTCCACTCCTTCACCCACCTCTATCCACCTTTTTCCGGCTCACTAAGACTTCTCCGGCCCGAATTATGAGGACTTGTAGAAAACGCTGTACACTTCAGAGCGCGCTCCGCCCATTGTGGGCGGACCTCCGCCAACGTCGTGTATGCTGGGAGCACCTTAGACATTGCTCCCCTACACCAATTTGTTTTCTGCTCTGTAGGCTTTCTCCCAACCGAGTTATGAAATTTTTCATAAAGCACTGCTTTTCGGAGAACGCGCCCAACCACCGGGGGTGGGTCTGTCCCCTCACACCTACGACTTCTCGAGAGACTCTACCAAGCACATTACCCACCTTTTGGCTCAGTTCGAGGTCGTTTTGTCACTGAAATCGAAATCTTGGTCGTCGGTGCAGTTCATTTCGACGCACGCCACGCCCTCTGTGGGCGGGGCTCCGCTTAGCTGATGTGTGTTTTGTATTACGTGAGACCTTGCCCACCCATCCCACACTTGACCCGGTCCCTCCAGGCGGATCCCGAGGAGCTAGGGAATTTCGTGACAGACATACAGAACGACGACAGAGGGACAGAACGACAGACGAAGCGCTTTATAGTATGTAAGATACTTGCGGAGAGCCCAAAGGGCTTCTAGTCGTCGGGCTATACATAATGACGTCGATCGTAACGCTCGCAGCATTGTATGCCCACCCGATCGTCCCACTTGAGCAAGGGATGTGCGAATCGATACTGCATCCAACTAATATAGCTTAATGTATATTGTACCTATTCTACTCGTTACATCGTGCGAATGGACGACAGACTATTAATGCGCCCAAAGAAGCACTCTCCTACTACCGAATATAAGTGCCAGACGCGGCTTTCCGCAGTCTCCTCATTTCCACATGCTATCCTTCCTATTTTATAAAGCGCTAACTTTGTGTGTCGGTTTGTGTATCTGTATGTGTGTGTGTGTGTGTATGTATGTGTGTCCGTCCGCAAAATGAAGTGAGTGAGAAGGAAGCTCATGGGATAAACAAACCGCTAACAAATCGGGTAGCTTACAGGATTTGAGATATCAATGTTTTGTAGCAGGATAGTTGTGATAACACTCTTAGGGCTATATAAACACCTGCTTAGCACACTTCCGTTCATTCCACATGGTGCTGCAGTGGCAGCTGGAGGGCAGTGGAGAGAGGAAGGGAGGATGAGGAAGGGAAGCGAAAAATCTACCGTCATATCATGATTGTGTCCCTTCTACTGTATGAAACACCATTGTGTTGCATACGCGTCACTTCCAGGTGTTGGTGTCACAGGAGGAAGGGACCCATAGCGGAGGATAGAAAGCTTGCGCAGGAAAGGAAGGTCCCGGCGGTTGACGGGGGACTAATCTGGTAGTAATAACGTAAAATCGATTGAAAGCGAACTACTCTGACAAAACCTGAATACAGCAATTAACACCCGCACCAACGTTGAGAAAATTCCAGAAGGGGTACTCAGCATGCGTTGTACGCCAATACCCGCCATGTTGTAGATATTCAGCGGCATCTGGTGCCTGCGTGCTTAATCTCACGTGGTGTCACGTAATGTCTTCAGCGTTGTCCCGATTCGTACCATCTTTTCGGCCGCCAAGTCCGGATCAAATCAAGAAGTTCATAGACCAAGTGGCTTCCATAGATCGTCTGCTGGTTTTGACTGGTGCTGGAGTGTCCACAGAATCAGGTAGCACATGTTTTCGATTTCAATTCGAAAATTCATTTGATTTTGGATCATGAATTTCTTCACCTACAGATGACGGAGGGAGTAGGTACGGCGTTTTGGTTGCTTAATCCCGCCTGATGCTAAGCCTAACTATCGCTCTATCTACTCCAGAAAAAAATTGGGTAAATCAAAAATATCTCCCACCCAGCCCTCTTCACACAAGCCTTTCGCTCACCTACAAAATGGTGACGGTTCACTATGACTGAAAGCGACTTTCCCGCGTTTTCGCTAGCGCGAAATTTATTACTGCTGCGGGATCCAGCGCTGGACCCTGAACGTTCCGCATGAAGAATGTTTCGCGCTGGCGGAACGCGAAAACAGTCTTTTTGTCCGTAGTGAGGGCCACCACCTCAAAAATAAGTCTCTTGGGCCGTCACTTCCTCAGCTATCTTACTATACAGCACTTTAGAGATTCAATCAAAAACATGTGATTACTTCATATAATAAAGTACTTCAAAGTCCAATTCCAATTATGAACAGGCGGCAGGACTTGATCGAGTTTATAGTAGGCGACAGGGACTATGTACAAAAAGTCCGCAGAAGCGACATTTACAGTTGCTCTTCCTGTTTCAGTACCGAACATCACATCTAGTGCGTATTTCGTTGCGACATATTTTGGAAATCACCGCTGTATGAAATATAATTGCCGTTAACTCCTTACCAGTGGGTGAGGAAAATGTCGAGCACCTCAAGTGTTGTGCTTCGCAACACATTGGAACTAGTTGCTATTGTGCCAATTTTTATTTACAATTGTCGTAGGCTGATGTCAGAGTCCGCGATCCTTTGCGCGATTTTCGCGATTTTCGCGATTTGCGCGACGGGTCACGGAAATCACAAGTGCCCCATCCATACTGCAAGGTGTTCTCCAATCCCGCCGTCACTTCTGCTTGATGGTTATGGTTTAATGGAGACTGCTCATGATTCCACTTGTTTCATATCCAGTGTTTCAATTGTTCAAATGGGGCACTTGCAATTTTTGTGATTGGTTTGGTTTGATTCCTGAAAAAAATAGGAACGATTCAAGAGCATTTCAATGAACTAATAGACATTGAACATGAAACAAGTAGAACCACAAACATTCGTCTTCCAATCTTTACTGCCAAGCAGAATTCGCAGCAGGATTAACACTTTGACGACAGCGCGGGACACATACGTCCCGCACTCTTCACACGGAAGAGACTTGTTTTTCCTAAATTGTGCCTCCATTTTCATGATTCAAGACTGGCCCTTCCTACTGTTGGATACAAAAATAGTTCTCTCGTTACCACTAATGAAATTATTGGTAATGTAGTAACTGTTAATGCAAATTCTAAAATAAGGTGAGTAGGTTTGCGCACAAGGGCGTGTCGTCAACGTGGTTAAAACCCACCTCGCAATATCATCGGGCACTTCCACTCCCTGTGACCCATCGCAATATCTGCGGAAAATCGCGAATCGCGAAGAGCGATCGCGGACTCCCGTTGACAACCAGCTTAGATACAACTAAGAAACAAACGCTGGACTCTATGCCTCTACATAGACGGGCAGCTCGAACTTTTCCAAGCACTTCTGTGAAATGAAAGTGCATCCCTGATGCATCAAGTAATCGCTGTAACTATGGCCTCAAGTGCAGCAAGTGTCTAAATCCGCCTGTTTGTGAAGAATTGAATGGTCAAGCATCATAAAGGGATCCGTTACGTTACAGAAGCATTGATCGTGATAGAGGCTTTATATCCAAAGACATGACACAAAGATATTCCAAATCATCAAAAAGCACATGTGATATCGATTTTTGTCGGCCGTCTACATGTGAACATGTGATTCCTGCTGTGTAGCGACGTAGTGAGGGTCTAACTAGACGAATTGCAGAATGTGTACGTGTTTCTTATGCTCCCGGTTAAGGGATTCCCGACTATCGCTCTGAGAAGGTAGGCCTTTACGGAGCGCAGCAACCATCGTCCTATAACCATACAAGAGTTTCTCGGCTCAGAATCTGCTAGAAAACGGTCAGTATTGGTAGACTCTTGGTTTTTTTTTACTCGCGTGTATCGTTGAAATCACATTGCGGAGCTTTTAGATACTGGTCACGTAACTTCTTAGCATGGCCGAATTTCTCACGTGCGACGTGCAATGCAGCTCATCGAGCGATCGCATCATGGGAAAGATCGGATAAATTCGTGTGGCTGATCACTCAAAATGTCGACGGTCTTCACACACTAAGTGGGTTTTTTAAACAATTTACTCAAATATTTCCGAAGATAAACATAACATAACATAAAAAGTCCGAACATAAAAAGTCGTACTTGAATTCGAATTCTTCATTTGATTTGAAGATTTTTGAAAAGGTATTAGTACGGTTATTGCCATATATAACTAGGTATAATAGACTTGTCTTTGATTATTGTAGTAGTTGAGGGCCGGATCGAATCTGCTCACGGAGCTGCATGGTTGTGCTCTTCGAGTTAAATGTTTGGGCTGCGGCGAAATGACGAAACGGTAGCCGTTGGTTCCATTTTTATAAACTGTTCATTCTCACCAGTAAAAATGGAAGCCCACAATTTTTTCAGGGAAGATCATCAGCCTCGAATGGAAGAGCTCAATGCTGACTGGATGAAAGCGCACACGGGCGGAGAACTTCGACCCGATGGAGATGTGGAACTCGAAGAGGGAGCGCATGAGGTTGGTGTCACTAGATGTGTTGTCAAGTTGAGAAACAAGAATAATTTCTACTGCTTGTACATAAAAAATCCTCACAATCCATCGTAACAGTCGCAGTTTCGAAATACAGCGGCAACGCAGGCTAAGCTTTGGAGTTGACGATCAGAGCGCGGCGTCATCGCGTGGCCTTCTCAAATTACGCTAGCTCACCTGTTCCATTACCGATTGTGATTGACAGGCGGTAGAGTTGACGCCGTGCCTCCTTAGCGCCTTCAACGTGCGTGACTAAGGCGGTAGCAATTCGCTTAACCCGCAATTCGCTACTTCATCCGCAAGCCCCGCCTTCCACTGTCGGCCGCCACGCTGGTGCTGAGGCACTGTTCACAGTCTGCCCATACCCGAAGAACGCTCGAAACAAACGAATCTGCGCATCTGCGAAATGAATCAAGTGCGTATCGATCCACAAAATGGGAGGAGCGTCGAATCGCGCATTTGAATCTGCGAATCCTTTTGAAGGAGATGTATGTCTATCGATCAGGGCCGTAAGGTATGCTTCCCCGAAGGGTTAGGGGACGAAAATCCCTTTAAATTTTCTCTGTCTCCCAACTGGGATTGTCCTGATAAAGGGCCTACATTTAATATATGTGTGTAGCTTAAAGTAAACATGCATTGAAAATAAAGAAACAGTATCGTTCAAAACAAAAAATTTAAAGGGACTTTCGTCCCCGCAACCATTCGGGGAAGCATACCTTACGGCCCCAGGTGGATTGGAGGCGGTCCATCGATGCGACAGCGATAGCATTGCGTAATTAACTCCGCACTCTCACCGTTTCGCGCTTTCGATACGTCGACGCGAAACGGTGAGAGGCGGAGTTAATTACGTCGATACGCATCTGGACTGTTTCGCTTCCACGTTCGCACATGCGCAGTTTTTCACTACGTATATAATTCTTTTCGCGAATTCGAATATTCTGATGATTCGAGAACTGAGAAGAGTGCCTGAAGGAAGCGCGACCGCAGTTGCGACAGCGATTAGCATTGCGGCTGAATGCTACTGGCACTGGAGCTGCTGGAGCTAGCCGCTCGTGAAGCTCCTCCGAACACACCCCTTCCAAATTGGAATGGGCTGAAAGAGAGGAGGTTCCTGTTCAGGGCGTAATCGGGGTTTCTTTCGCTTTTTTTCTTTTCCAGACCCCTCAACACCTCCAACTTCATTTTTGTACGCTCTCACAAACCCACTTCATTTTGGGGCTAACCATTGAGTCCCTAAAGATCCATCTTTTCCGATTAGTTACCTTTTTTATATGAATCGATCCATGGCTAACCTTAAATCCTGCGTACCGATGGTTCTTCTGAAAAAAGCAGGAGGAATTGAATTCTATGAGAAAATTGTCATTGCATCATTATGCTGCGCACAAGGCATTTTAGCGGTTCAATCTTTAGAGATCCACAACCTTTTTTTCAGACATTTGTTTTGCCGGAATGTCAAAAATGTGGTGGGATTCTGAAAACAGATGTTGTATTCTTTGGAGATAACGTGCACAGTAGTGATGTGGATGCTTGTTACGAAAAGGTATGTCTTCGTATGATATTCTTGTAGGTCTAGGTCTATAAACTAAAAAATAAAAGGTCTGTGAACCTCAGAGGGTTGTGGGCGGGTTGCATTTTTTCACTTTGTACAATTGATTCTTTTCAGGTTGAGGAGTGCACTGGCGTGCTGGTGTTAGGCTCATCTCTCACCGTCATGTCAGGCTTCCGCTTCGCCTATCACGCTAGTCTCATGGGGAAACCTGTGCTTATTGTGAATATAGGTCCTACGCGAGCTGATAGTTTCGCTGAAATGCGTATTAGTGCTCCAGTAACGGAGATAATAACAAAATTATAAGCTATTCATGTAGTGCTGTTCTGTTTGTGTGCCAGTTTGGTGTGTTTTCAAACGCATAAGAATTATCATTATAGTAATGGATAGTGTAAATAAGCTTTATATTTAGTGGTGATTTCTTGTTGTGGCGAGATTACGAAGAGCATACAAAGGTTTTGTGATTAATGCTGTAAATAGAGATTATCCCTGTCGTTCTAGTCTAATAAAGAGTTTCAGGGTCATTGAACAGTTAAACGTAAGCTATTAAGGCTTGGTTACCAAGTGCTTCTTATCCCAGCTAGAGCACAGGATGGGCCAAATTTATGGTTACCGCGAGCGCGCGCAGTTGAACCAATTGTTTCTTGACTATCACTTTCCTCTTCGTTTTTGGGCATAACGGGATAGAGGACAGTGTCTTCTTCCTACTAGACCCAAATATCATAGTTTTCAAATTACTTGAACAATCATATCACGGTATGTCAATCCTCAAATTGAATAGGGGGGGGGGGTGTAGAGAGAAGCTCACCCAGGGTCAAGCGTGCGTTGAGGAATCCTCGACATGTCACAGAGGGGGGGGGGGTCGTATTGGCCCGCTGGGGAGAGATCGGGCCCGATTGATACAGTAGGATCATCGTCGGAGGACAAACATTAAGGATCGAATCGATACCAGGCCAGAGTATTTCCAATAACAATTGATTCCGTCCACACAAAATCTTCGTGATTTAGAGGTGTCCGCTTAGCAATTCTTAGTGACTTTAGTGTTTCATCACCACACAAGTCAAAGAATCCGAAATTCGCACGTTTTCTAGGGATATTTTATCTTTCAAGTAGGTCCTCAAATCCAACGAGATGTGAAGCACACGGCGCATCCCAGAGTGGGCCCAGTTGGTTGCGCGCGCTTCAGCTACGGCTATCTTGATAACGAATCTTAATTCAGGAAGAATCAAGAGGGTTCTGAAAGAGTTCATGTTAAATTACAGAGGGAGTACACTATTCAACAAGAAACGCAGCCTTCAGCGTCAAATTCACAAGCATGTAACCTTTAAAGTTGAGACCCGCTAAACAATTTTACACTTTTTGCAGAGAGAAAAGCACGAGGATTTTGAATCTGCTCCTACTTCAGTATGTAATCGCTCCTGCAAGGAGCTATAGTCGTTGGGATAGTGCTAATGTAGCGAAAAAGTACCTTTCGGCGGTACTCGGGCAAAAATCCTCAACGTGGCCATTTTTTAAATAGTGAACGTATTTAGCAGTTTTAGTTGCCTATAGAAAGAGCAAATCTTCTAGTTTATGATGACGTATTAACTTTCCAGATTGCATGAGTTTGAACGGAGTTATGGCTTTGGAAAGCGTAAAAACTCGCACTCATCACGAATTTTCCTCGTTAATTTTGCAAAAATCCTCAACGTGGCCATTTTTTGAGTACTGGACGTATGAAGCTGCTTTAGCGACCGTTTGATAGAGAAAATCTTCTAGTTTTGTATGACGTATCAACTTTTTGAATTTGACGGAAAATGAAGCAAGTTATTGCTCCGGAAAGTGTAAAAACTCGTGCTCGTCTCGAATTTTCCTCGTTATTTGATCTAAATTTGTTATTTCTTATAACTTCCTGTAATTTCAGTACTGATTAGAAAAAGCTCTTCACAAAACTCCCAAATCAGCTTTCAGATTGAAAATTCGTTAACTTTGAAGAAAGTTATAATCATTTGAATATTTGTTCAAATTTCAATAGTAAATAAGCTGCTCCACGGTCAACGCCAAAGTCCAGTCAACACACAGCTGGCGAAGGCTTTTACAAGGCTTCCTTTGAGCGAAAGGGGACGTGTAAATTGAGAACCATAATCTGTGTAGTACTAGAATTTGGTAAGTCTTGTGGAGGAAATAAACAAAGAAGAGGTGTTGTCATAGTACGCCATTTCTAGTGACTAGTTTGACGTTTTTTGCTCCGTTTCTCGTTTGCTCGTTTGACAGGACTCGTCATTAATGATCATTCTTTGACTTTTTCACTTTTATACTTTTTAAACGAGTTTTTTTGTGGACGATGGGGTAGCAGGGCTTTTTTATGAGCAGTTTTGGTGGAGAATTAAACAACTTTTTCATAGTTCGGCTTTTAAAGAGGGTTGTTTCATGGACTTCGGCCTTCGGCAGAGGGAGGGGGGTCGTATTTCCGAATTTTCCTCGACGCCTCGCTTGACCCTGGTCCCCCCGCGGACGCAGGCGCTGCGGGTGATCGTCGCCGTTTGCGCGGAGAGCGATGGTTGGGGACGAGAGCCGCGCCGTTGACAGGCTTGGCGCTGGGAAGTGCGAGGTTGCTGGCACTGACGCCAATCTTATTGCATGCGCGGGGAATGGAAATGATTGGATAGGTTTATATAGATGCCATCCTTCGCTAGAATAGGAGTTTTTGAATCTTCAATTTTCCAATTGTAGTGTAGTGAGTGAAGGAACGCAATACCCTCAGGTTCAAACTCTTAGGACTGAATACACTTCAGTCACTCCAGCCGGGGGGATTCTTTCTTCGAATTGTATGTTACGAATAAGACTGCATCGGCCAGACACTCACAACTCTCAGCAGCAATAGATATATGGCTTCTCATACAGAGTCGGCGGTTACAAGCTCAAGGGTGATGCGTAGTATTGTCAAAAAAAGGATTCAGCGAAATTTAGTGGGGACCAGGATAAAATTGGGTACAGGTTTGAATTTGTCAGGATGATCGGTGCGAAAAGTTCCGCTAGAAAGCACAGAATTATGTATGCTTAGAAAATGCCAGATAAACGCATATTCCTCTCCGGCGCGAGATGGAAATGAGAGGTCTGAAGAATATTGAGGGCTTTGGAGTCTCGTTACGCGGAAGGGATGGGGTATTGGCGACGAGAAAATCTCCAATAGTTCTCATAGACGATATGCGGTTTTGAAAAAATTAGGAGCAGAAGGAACGCAAATGGAATACAATCTCATTAGCTCGGCGATGAATTTTACATGATTGACCGTGAGATCTTCCTCGCCGTTGGTTTTCGTCGACGTGAGGAAAAAAACAAAGGCTCAAGCCGAATGATATCCAAGATAGAGTTTTAGAGAGAACTGTCGTCGTCTTCACTGCTCATAGCGATTGGCAAGGCGGTCTGTTCATGGTTGGACTATTGTGAAAGCAGAGCCCATCTTTCGGACATTGGGCGCCTCCGATTGAGGTAACGACTGTGGTAGATATTGGAGCTGAAGAAGTGCCCGAAAATACAGTTTGAATAGATCGTTAACAGCTGCTCCTCAAAAAGTATATGATGAAGTTTTGAAAGGATGTCACCCCGGCAAAGACTAATTTCTGTAGGGTACGATTGAAGAAAATAGTCAGTTCATAGGCGGCCATTTTGAATAAGAAATGAAAACAATATTCGAAAGAATATGCTTCTACTTTGCTGTACTTGGTATCCCGTTTCGACGTTTCTGGTACGAACTGGACTACGATTACTTTGTCACCAATTTATACCCTGTAAAGTGAGGCTCTTGTGTTGGCCACCTTTTTCTGTTTTTACATTCTATTGTGCTTTCGAAGCTTCACTTCGTCAGGCGAAACCAGCTTGTTGTTAATCTGAAGGCCACAATCATTACAGCATTCTGAAGACTATTGGCGTGTTCTGATAGAATGGCAATCCCAGTGAGTCGGTACCGTAATCTTCTCACCATTTTGGAAATCATGAAAGAAAATGTTGTACTTTTTGGGGACGCTGTTTGACATTTTCATCAACATTAGCTGGTGGAGGAAGGATAGTTAGCGATGGTGCTGCTTGCTATGTACACTCCGGAATGTCTGTAGTCAAATCCTAGACAGAATCCCGTCTAAGTGAGTCAAGCCTTCCTTCCTTGGCCAGGTGTCGCCTAGCCGGCATCGGACATGTCTGAATCGGTAGAACATTGACCGCTGGATCACCTCGATGCATCTGAATTGAAGGCGAGTAAGTGATGCGTCCCAGGAAGGTCGTTGGTCAAAGCCTAGTGGTTTAATGCTTTTCCAGCAACAGTGGCCAAAATTAGCTATATTTTTTGTGCATAGACTATGGTGAAGTAACAACATAACATAACATATGAACCTGTTAATCCTAGTTTTCTACAGATTGCCTTTATGTTTTCAGTCTAATAAATGAGGTAGGAAAACATAGACAAATTGTGGCAGTGCTGATGGAATTGTTGATGTGCTCGTCGTCGATTACTTTCCAAATCCGCATGCTCCTCCACATCCACCCATACCTGAAAATGGTCCCATCAAAGATTTATAAGTCACGCAATAATGGGATATCTTCATCGTTGTTCACCAACTACACGATGTCCGAAAAGTGATGTCATACGCATACTTCAAAAGCCCTCAAAACCACAAAGCTTCACTGCGATTAATCGTGGCAACCCACAACTTCAACGCAATTCTCACAGAAGACTCGAGTTCTAACAACTTTCATCAATTGTGTGCAATGACCGACTTCAGCTCGTTGGTTCCACTGGATCTCGTTCTTCAAAGTCGCTGCTCCAGCGGAACAAAATGTAATCAGCAAAGACCAGCTTTGTATCCTAGGCTAGGTGTTTGATTGTTTGGCATCCCAATTCCCTTATGGAGCTCTGCGAGCCACAG